TATAGACTCTTTTTCTCCTTATTACTTAAAATATCTACTAGAATAATAATTACTATACCCGTAACGTAGCTTTTAAGTATCTCGGGTATCCTAGCTATATATAGGATTTTATTAACTTATATAGCTTAAGAGCCTAGGGTAAGTCTGCTATTAGTATAGGTAAAAGTAGAAATTAGGATTAGGTTATTTTAGACTTTTAATAGAATCTAATCTATATTAGTAAAAGAAACTAAAAAGTATAAATTAATAGATATATACCTATTATACTTTATTCTTTCTAATTATATCTTTAGTAGGTCGATAATTCGGATATAGTCTATATAAATATAGTCTTAGATTCTTATTCTTAAGAAATCTTAGATTATAAAAATCGTTTTCTTAATATTCTGGCTCCGGTAGCTCCTTACTTAGCTAAATCTTACTATTAGGATCTATTTCCGAATCGAAATTTATAATATCCGTCTCTCGAAACGTTTCCGAATTATTTCCGAATCGTTTCCTAGCTATTTCACGTTACTACTATCTTAATTTATTTATCTTCTCGCTATCTTACCCCTTAATTATCTACCCCTCTATTAAGGCCTAACGCTTACTTAAGGCATCCGCGTATATTATATAATCTAGCACTAACCACCCCCTACACCTACCCTTAGCTTAACTTTTCGCCCTACTCGGACCCATACCTACCCTTAGCTCAGCCTCCGAGTTCAATATCAGTTTATCTATAACCACACGCTAATATACCTGAGACCCCGCCCTATGCCTATGCTACGGGACTTCCGTCGCGTCGCAGTGGGACTGCCGAGACGTGCATGCCGAAGCACGAGAGTGACCTCAGCGATCTGCCCGCATTGCCGGCAACCCCAGCCCGATGACAGACGGAGGTGAGTCGTGACTCTGATATATAGACCGCAACGCCCAACCTCGTGTCAAACTCTGCTGGATCCGAAGGCGTTAAACACGAGTATTCAGACTTGCATAAGAGGCCGAACAACAGGCCAGAGTCCCAGACGATACCAACAAGAGTCTCGATTCCCGACAGATACAAGTTATAAGTCATAACGTATACCTTGTGTCCTTGTCACACTCTTATCAGCAGCCCGGGAAGCAAACAACCATCACAATGTCCTACCAGACGAACCCCCAAACATACGTCTACGGCGTGTCTTCGCCCTTCAAGAAGCGATACCTGCTCCCCTTCTGGGTGATCCGCGTGGCCACCATGCTCGGCAACTTCATCGTCTACGCCTTCGCCCTAGGCTTCATCGGCCAGAACCGCAGCGAGATCGACCGCGTGAGCGACGAGTTCAACACCCTCCTCGACGTCGACGGCATCATCGCCGTCATCGCCGTCTCCTTCGTCCTCATCACCCTCACCCTGGGCATCGACGTCGTGACCATCGTGCAGCGCTGCCGCCGCACCCTGACTCCCAAGTTCTTTGTCATCGCCAACTCCGCCCAGACCGCTGCCTGGGTCGTGCTCTTGGTGCTGTCTCTCTTTGGCGCCAACACGGGCTCCATGATCGTTCTCGGTGCCATTACCTTGTACGTTTTCCGTTCTAAAGCCCACTTTCACCCACTAACCTACTGCCAAAAAGGGGCGCCTTCATCGCTCTCCTCGGCTACTCCGCCATCATCTTCAGCCGCGAGCGCAGGGGCAAGATCGTCATGCTCAAGGCCGGCTCCCTCCCGCCCCAGCACCATAATAATAACAGCCCCCCCTCCGAAATCAACTACTCCGGCGCCCCCGCTGCCGCCGGTCCCAGCGCCTACCAGTCCTACCCGAACCCTCCCGTCTACACTGCCAACCCGGCCTTTGCCAACGTCAACTCCGACCGCAAGGACAGCATCGAGTCGGACCAGACCAGGGAGCCTGAGCCTCCTCGCTACAACTAGGCTCGACTTCATTTTCTCGCCCTTTACATATTTCTTTTCCTCCGCAGTCATCAATTCGTTATCATCACTGGCAGCGGAAAACAATAAATGGTTCACATGGACGAAACTAGCCTCGGGACTCGGATATATCATATGGGTAATGGGGCTACTGGGGCGTTTGATTTACAGGTTCGGCATTAGCAAGTTGTCTTTGCATTCCACTCAACTGTTTCTTTTCTTATCTTTCAGTGTGGTTAGATCGAGGCTTCGAGCGCGAGCATAGACATGATTGATGTACATACTGCCCAAGCCTGGCTGTAGATACGGGTTTTGGCAGTGAAGGGGGCAATTCCTGGGCTCTCATGAGATGCAATCATTTGAATCGAATATACGACACATTCAACATATCCTCACTTCCATTGCATTGTATTCAAAGAACGTCTGCGCTGTAATGAGGAAATAAGACAACCAGCCGATAATACGAAATACGAGTGATCGAAGTTGCCCGGCTCCACTTACGGGGCCCCGGGCCAATCGGAGACTCTCCGTCGGCGATCCCGATTCCCGAGCCCCTATTTGGGTCGCCCACGTCCATCTGTATGCCTCTGGAATTTATACTTCGAATAAAAGTGCCAAGGTTGTGACTCTGAACGAACTGAAATTCGTGGTTTTGTGACTGTAATATGCACGCACTCTTCTGGAATCTGGACTCTTAAGCCCGAGACTCACTACCACCCTTGCTACATTTGCTAACCTGCACTCGTGTGGCACTATTCGGGACATGGATATGTGAAAACCTAACAAGGCAGAAACAATAATGACAAAAATATCACCAACATTGGCGATGGTTAGACAGATAGAGTATATCGCAAAAGATGGCTACGCTACCCGGACGTAAACGCTCATGCCCCCATGTTGGAAAGTTCCGAAGTTCTCACATACAACCAACAGGTATCTGATCAACTATAGCTTGGACGCGCCCTCCTTCTCCTTCTTCACGAGGTCCCGTAACTCCCTCCGGAGAATTTTCCCCGCGGCGCTCTTGGGAATCGCACTAATGAAGAAGACGCCGCCTCGAAGCCGCCTATAGGAGGCGACCTGTTCCGCGACCCAGTCCTGGATCTCCTTCGCCGAGATTTGTGTCGGGTCCGCCACCACGTAGGCCCTGCAAGATGAATCGTTAGAAGAGAGAGAAAGGCGCAGAGAGACGGAAGACTAAAAAAGAAAGAAGAAGAAAGAAGAGCCTGAAGAGGAAGAAGCAGAACAGAGACGCACCGTGGAAGCTCGGTTCCATCTTCCGACTCAACACCAATAACAGCAGAATCAGCAATCTTAGGATGCGTAAGCAGGAGAGCCTCAAGCTCGGCCGGAGCGACTTGAAATCCTTTGTACTTGATGAGTTCCTAGGAAAGAAGAGCCAGTTGTCAATCAACAGTCCTCAATACCCAAATCTCAATCGCTCTCGGGGGGGTATATAAAGCAGGAACACCTACCTTCCTGCGATCGACGTAGAAAAACTTGCCGTCCTTGAAATACATATTATCACCCGTCCGAAACCATCCATCCACAAAAACCTCACGATTCGCCTGCTCGTTCTTCAGGTACCCCTTCGTGACAATGGGTCCCCTCACCCAGACCTCGCCGGTCCGCCCCGGCTCGACATCCCCGCCCCGCTCGTCCACGATGCGCGCCTCGCAGTTGGCCAACACCATGGAGACGCTCCCCACGGCCTCCTCGGGCGGGATGTGCCTCGGCAGCGACGTGAACCCGCCCGTGGTCTCGCTGAGCCCCCACGTCTGCGCGATGCCGCCGCGGCCCTTTCCCAGGCGGCGCTGTGCCTCGAGCTGCACGGCGGCCGACAGCGGGGCGGCGCCGGTCCAGGCAACGTCGACCGAGTCGAAGTGGTCGGTGACGAGCGGGGAGCGGGCGATGGCGAGGAACACGGGCGGGACGCTGAAGAACATGGTGATGCGGAGGGCGCGGGCGTGGTGCAGGAAGCGGGGGAAGTCGAAGCGCCGCATCCAGTACACGGTGCCGCCCAGGTAGGCCTGGTTGATGAAGTAGGCCTGCAGGCCGGAGATGTGGGCGGCGGGGACGTGGGCGAGGGTGCGGTAGGCGAAGGAGGGCCGGTGGGTGTCGTAGTACCGGCGCATCGGGGTCAGGATGAGGTGCGTCTGGGCCACGACGTTGGCGTGGGAGACTTTGACGGCTTTGGGGGTGCCGGTGGTGCCGCTGCTGTAGATGAGGCAGGCGAGGGTGCGCTCCAGGGTGGACTTGTCGGTGAGGCGGCGCCAGCGGTGATGCTTGTTGGGTGCGACGGGGACTTGGGCGTCCGAGGCGGCGTTGAAGAGTTGAATGTCTACACTACTACCACGGCGGTGGGCGTCGCCAAAGTACAGGATGCGATCCGAGGGGAGCCCCGCGGCAGATCCACCCTTGGCGGCGAGGGCTTTCAGATCCGGGGTGGAGATGAGGAGCTTGCTCTCGGAAAGGGCCATCTGGCGGGCGAGTTCCTGTGGTGACGAGGACGGTGTCGACGCGGCGACGGTAGCACCGGCGGCGAGGATGGCGTAGAAGACGGTCGGGGCGAGGTAGTGGCCCGTGAACATGACCTGGACGGCGTCCCCTTCGCGGACGCCATATGTGGTACGGAGAGTGTAGGCAAGGCGCTGGAGGAGATCAAGCTGGCTGGCTTTCGTGACGGCTTTGGCGGGGTCGTCGGCGTCGGCGTGCATGATGGTGTCGTCTTTGAGTTTGTCATTGTGAGGATCTATTAGCTTTGATTAGCCATCGGCTCCGGTGAGACGGGATATGGTTGAGAAGTTGAAACTTGAGGGTCATGGCAAATGAGGATATGGAGATATCTGATATGATCATGGATGATATGATATATCTGCCAAGGGGCTCAATGCTCGGGACATTTTGTCGGCGTACTATCAAATAGAAAAGTAAGGATGTCCAGGCTGGGGATGTCGAGGGTGACTGGGGATCGGTAGATGACCTGTTCACCGCGACGTTCGACGACGGTAGCCATGGTGTTGACTGTTGCACAGCCCAGGGAGTTCAGCGTCGCCCTCGGGGAGTGACTATGATAGGTCGAGGAGTACGTGAACCCCGGAGGAAGAGGTGAAGATGTTGGGCCGAGGGGTAACAGTCGACTTTGGTCTAGCACTATCAGTTTGAACGAGGGTTTCTAAGAAGTAGTAAACAACACTGGTGGTGAGAGACGGGAGACGGGAGACGAGAGACGAGAGAATACAAGATGTTGGTCTCAAGTTCTCGGTCTCCGACAGTCCGGTAATACATGTAGGTAACCTTAGGTACATGACCGCTAATCAGCGTACCTTATCCAGGGAGCCTATTAGCGCCCGCTTAGTGGATTCCCCCGCACCGGAACTTGGGGACCTCCTGAGACATGCACTGTAAAGCCTCGTAGCACGCATATTGTCGGGGTTAAAGCGAGCCGCCGCAAGCCGCAAGCCGCAAGCCGCAAGTGACCAATGATCATTTGTGTCGTTTTTTCTTCCATTCGCCAATAATTGTTACACGTACAGACAGGAGTCTTCTTCCATAAGATACAGATACCCTCTCCTACCACCTCTGGCCAACTCAACCACGAGTCGATGAATGAATCAACCTTTTGGCCAACATCACCAACATGACACATGACCCCTACCGATCAGGATTGACGCCCGACGCCGTGACATCCTTCCGATGTTTATCGAAAGGACCACCCCCACGCTTCGTAGGCGACTCGCCGTAGTGGCTCCAAACCTTGGTATCCTGGCGATCGATCCCCTGCGCACCCTCCGGCCTACCTCGGCCCCCAGGACCGCCCTCGTGGCCCCGATCCTGCTCATTCTCCCGGGATCCCTTCGAGCCCAACGCGCCCTGGAGCATCTCGCCGACGCCCTGCGTCTTGTTCTCACCGGCGCCGGACCCGCCGCCGGTGCTGCTGCCCTTGGTGTGCTCGACGGCCCGCGTGTTGGCGTTGTTCCCGCCGTACCCCCCGCCGACGCCGCCCGAGGGTAGGTTCTCCCGGGGCACGTCGCGGCCGGAGGCCTGTCGCCAGCGGCCCTGGTTCTCGCCCGTGTTGCCGCTCGCGAGGCCCGACCCGAGCTCGGTGCCGCCCGTGTTGGTGTTGCCGCCCACCCCGGCGCCTCCGAGGCCGAGGTCGCGCTTTGCGTCGGCTTGCTCTTTCTTCCTCGCCACCCCGGCCGGGTCGTTCGTTGCGTCTTGGTTCTTGGACTTGCTCCCGCGCATCATGTAGACGCCGCCTCCGAGGAGTGCTGCCGCGCCGAGGGCGGGACCGGTCATGGTGGAGCGGGACATGGCTGCGCCGCGTGCGTGTATCTGTGTTTTGCGGGGTGTGTGTGTGTGTGTGTGTGTAGGTAGGTAAAAAAGGTGGGGGAGGATGGATGAATTTGTCGCAATGTCGATGAAAAAGATGGCTTGTATGCTTTTGCTATCTTTTTCCCTTCCGAGTCGTAGAAACTGTGGTATGGCAAATGCTTTGGAGAGAAGGATCGAAATGTCAATCGTCAGGTAGGTACGTGGCCACCCTTTTCCCTACAGGTATCGTCACCATTATATTGCACAGTACTCCGTACTCCGTACTCCATGACATAAGAGTCGTATCGCATGCTTGGAAAGCAGAGAGTTACAACGGATGACAGTTTGTACTCTTGCACAGCAGTCATCATGACATCAAGATGGAATCACGTAAATCCGGCCTCAAAATGGACCCGTCACCGACTGCCGCAACCGATGTGCATCGGATCATCGGCATGATTGCTATGTACACTGTACCCATTGGGAAGAATTCGATTTAATGTTTATTCGATGAAATGAAGATGTGTTGAAGGTTGTGAGTACGTGTAGAACCAGCGTCAGTGTGGTTTTAGATACCAATCTTGGTCCCCTACTCTGAATATGATGTCGAGGAATGGTACAGTCAGTGGCCAAAAGGACCGAATCACCTTGCGAGAAAATAACCACGTAAAATGCTTCGATACTTCTGTCAGTACACGTACACTGTACCTCTCAAATCTCATGGTTCTCTAACAGCCTCACCAGACTCCAGTATCGTCTTGAAAGCCAAAACTTCATAGTCGAGGGCGCAAAAGACTCATATCCAATCGTCGTTTCTTTCGTTTTCTTCGTTTCTTCGTTTCTTCGTCCCTTTTATTCCTTTATTTCTTGCTTATGGAAGACCCCCGGAATTTCCGGCATCCATTTCGCCCGCTGCGAGCAAAAGAACTCCCCCTTGGGAGGCACCATATCCCGCTCCTTCTCGTCCAACGTGCCCCATACCAAGTAGCGGAACTTGTCTGCAGCTTGCTCCTACAACACCACAGATGTCAGTCGGGGGGGGGGTTCCTTGATTCTGTTGAAGACGTGC